CGGTCCCGGCATCTTTAGCTTGAGGTAGGCGTAGTTGGGGATTGGCATGAATTTGGCGTAGCATGGCTGCCCCAAGATGGCGTGGTAGGACCCTAGGAAGTCCACCACTTCAAAGGTGAGGACCTTCGAGCAGAAGTTGGCTCGGTTGCCAAATGTGACGGGCAGGTCAATTTGCCCGAGCGGGTATGCCTGCTCTCCTGGGATCACCCCATGGAAGGGAGAGCCCGCTGGGCGGAGTTCCGACTGGGGGATGTGCATGGCGTCGAGGGTGTCGACGTAGAGGATGTTGAGGCCACTGCCTCCGTCCATCAGCCCCTTGGTGAGGCGCTTCTTGTGGATGATGGGGTCGACGATGAGCGGGTAGCGTCCCGGTCTCACGACGTGGGAGGGATGGTCCCTCTGATCGAAGGTGATCAGATATTATGACCAGTTAAGGAAGGAGGGGACGGCCGTCTCGGCGGCGCATGCCTCCCTATAGCGTACCTTGTGCTGGCGCTTGGAGTAGATGGCGTCGGATCCCTCGAAGATCATGATGCATTTCTCAGATTCGGGGAAACTGTCCCCGTCCTTGCCTGCCGCACCTCCCTTCTTGGCTACTGCCTCTTTGCCATCTCCTTCTTTCGGCCCGTCAGTCTGTCGCAGGAAACGTTTGAGGAGCTCGTAGTCCTTGTAGAGGTGTTTGACGGGGTAGGCATGGTTGGTGCACGGGCTATCCATGAGCTTGTTGAAGTGGTCAAACAGGCCCTGTTGGAGCTGTTTGCCCGTGCAATCAGCTGCGGCGACCAACGCGGTGTTGTCCGGTCGGCGCCGATCCTTTTTGTTCTTCTTACCCCTCTGTGTGGAGGCACCCTCTTCTTGGTCCACGCGCTTGGCCTTGCCTTTGTCCTAGCCTCCGTTGAAGACCGCTCCAACCGCCTCCTCGCCGGAGGCATGGTTAGTGGCGACATCGAGTAGGTCATGGGTGGTACGGGGCTTCAGGCAGCCAAGCTTGTGGATCAGGGACTCGTAGGTCATCCTAGAGAGGAATGCGCCGATGACGTCCGCGTCGATGACATCAGGGAGGGAGTTGCATCGTTGGGAGAACCTACAGATGTAATCCCGCAGGGACTCACTGGGCTCCTGCTGGCAGCTCTTGAGGTCCCAGGAGTTACCAGGGCGGACATATGTCCCCTAGAAATTTCCGACGAAGACCATCTTGAGGTTCGTCCAGTCATGGATGCTGTCGTGCGGGAGGAATTCAAGCCACGCCCGAACATGTTCCCCCACGTAGATGGGGAGATATTGAATGATGAAAAGGTCATCATCCACCCCTTCGGCTCGGCAGGCGAGCTGGAAATCTTTGAGCCAAATACCAGGGTTAGTCTCCCCGGTGTACTTGGCGATGTTGGTGGGCGGTCGGAAGCACTGCGGGAATGGCACTCTCCGGATACGACGACCAAAGGCCCGTGGTCCTAGGCCATCTGGGCTGGGACTTCGGTTGTCTGGCCGGCGGCCATGCCTAGGGCACGTTTTACCGCTCCCCTAGATGGTTCTGCCGAGGCCCGTGTCGCCTGCCCTCATCGCCGCCCGGTGGACGTCATCATCGCGCCGGTCCTGATGTCGGTTGCTGATGATGCTCCGAGCGTCTTGGTGCTGACTGAGGCGTTCGCGTACTGGTGGTCGATGTGGAGCAGGCGCCTGGTCGGACCGCGGCGCAGCCACGGCCTCCTGAGTCACGCTTGGTGGCTGTAGCAGTGAGTGGATGGAGCGATCCATCTGGTGCGTCCCCACTCCCCCAGTGGGGAGAGAGGGCGCGAGTCGGAGTCATGATGCGGAGCTTTCTGCCTGTTGAACGGCGGCGGCTTCCATCAGCACCCCGAGGTTCCGATAGACCTCCCACTCCTGGGGGTCGACGAGCTCGAGAACGCCACACAGAAGCATTGCCTCAGCGGCGATGTTCTGGCTAGCCCGAGCGAACTATGAGGGGTCGTTCCCCTCGTTAATGATGTCGTGCTAGACCTGACGAGCGTGACCCTGGGCGCCGCTCGCCGGGTCACGCGCATGGGGCGCAACATGCTGCACCGAGAGCGTCGACGTGGGCGGCGGCTGGTTCTGCCGTCGTTGTCGTAGCTCCTTGGCTTGCTCTTGTGCGAGCGCGAGGGCCCCCTCACGCGGGTCCAGAGGGGTGTGAGTCTGCAAAGACTCCGCAACCACCGGTGGCTATCCCGGAGCATCCGCCATAGCGCACTCCCGGGATGGACGGTGACTAGGTGCCACGTCGCTGATGCCAGAGCCGTCGCTCTCAACCTCGTCTTCCAAGAGTTCGTGGAAAGTGATGGGAGCATAGCTCGCCATTCCCACGAATTCGGATGTGAGAGGGGATGGCGTCAGCGTCCTTCGGAGCCCCCGAGCGTACGCGTCCGCGGGGGACACGAGGCCACAGGGGAACCGGTCGTACGGTGTTTGGGGTGCGGACAACACGGTCCCTCTGGATAATCGACGGGAGATGGTAAATAGAGAGTAAATAACAGTATGCACATTACTCACAGCGGGGTTTGAGCATAGAGTTTGCTCAGAATGAAGCGTAGGTGCCTCATCGTTGAAGTCATCGTGCGTCCCGGAGACGATGGAGGGTGCCCCTACGACGGGCGCCGGAACAAGTGCCTCCTCGCGGAGGTGTAGTACGCCGAACCGATCAGCGACAAAGTCTAGGCTTCCGAAGAGAAAAGCCTGGGATGGCTTGAAGACGGGTGGAATCCGCATCCCAATAGGTGGGAGTGCGGAAAAATCTAGTGAGCCGAAGCGAGTCGTATCGCTTGAGCCTGCCATAGCGAGGGTGGTGGAAAAGTGGGCCATCCGATGACAAAAAAGTGTCAACGTACAGCGTCTTTCCCACGGACGGCGCCAACTGTTGGTGCAGAAAGTGACCAACACGTAAATATTTATAGTTTTGCTGTATGTTGTGATCAAATGTGGCCTAGCACTCAATGACACAGGGTTTATACTGGTTCAGGCAACGTGCCCTACATCCAGTTTGAGTCGGTCGGTGACTTTATTCCTGAACCCAGGTGCTCGAAGTTTGCTGTGGGGTTACAAACGGAAGGAAGAAAGATGGGGGGTACAAGAGGTCCGGTCGGACTCTGGTCTGAAGGGTCGAGAGTGACGGGAGCTCCGCTATGTGCTAAGTTTTCGAGCGTGTGCTCGAGGTTTGAACCTAGTGGTTCTGCTGTTGTGTGTTAGTGAACTGATCAATCCCTTTTTTGGGAGAGGGCGCATCTCTTTTTATAGATGAAGGGGACGGCCTTACAAGTGAGAGAGAGAATACGTATGCTACTAAGTCTTGTTGCCCATGCCGGTGGGTACCAAATAATGGTAGGCGCCCACAATACTGTTTAATGTCAGATGCATGTGGGAGGTTGCGTCGTCTTCTTCTGGTATGACAAACGTCGGTGCCTGCCATACTGTTGATGCCCAGAGGCATGTAGGGGGTTTTACCATGTTCGCCTGATACGGTAAATGCCGACGCCCACAACACTGTTGATGCCCAGAGGCATGTGGGGGGAGCCTTACCGTGTTTGTCTGGTATGGGAGTTGATGGCGCCCACAACACTGGAGGGAAAATGTCGGCGCCTACAACACTGCTTGAGTTCTGTCGTGCTAGGAAGGTTGTAGGGTACTGTCCTGTAGGTGCACAGGGTACGGTCCTTGGGATTGCGGTTGACTTGAGTGCCCTGCCTTACTTTCTCCGTCCGTTTCCTGGTCCTTACTGAGCGGGCGTCCCTGGTCGGTTGGTCCCAGTCGGCTCTGATTGCGCCAGTTGGAGAAGAGCTGTGAGCAGGGGTTCGACGCATCCCCGGTCGAGGACGCGGGTCGAAGTCGAAAGTGGTGTTTGGCCAAGCCTTCCGGTCGGAGAGGCCATCCGAAGGTGGGCCGGAGTCGGAAGCGAGGCCTTCCGGTCGGAGAGGCCGGCTAGAGTCGGAAGTGGGCGCCGTTCCTTTTCGGCCAGGCCTTCCGGTTGGAAACTGGATCGCCCTTCTGGCCTGTCATTTTTAGGTATTTGGGTCGGCTCAGGAGTTTGCGCGTCGTTCGCAACGTCGTCTGTTGGGCCGAGTCTTTGTTGGGAAGCCGGTTCATAAAGGACCCCGGGTTTATGAACCCGACAAGCAATTACTTAAATTTTTAGGCATCAGGGATAGATAACTGATCTATTGAAGCAATTATAATCTCTTATATTACATTTTTTATTGGAAATGCGATAAGTAATTGGTTGGAGATGGCATGCAAGCATTCGGGTATCTCCGGTTACCCGAGCAAGAAGACCGAAGCTCACGAAACACTCGATACACAGGTTGGTCTTCAGCAACCCTACGTCAAGAAATGATAGACGTATTTGACCATAGAAAAGTCATACAAAATAGATTTTTACCATAATTTCTCTTACAATATGGAGTCAATGGCTAAAGAATCAATATCATCTTAGAGCCGGTTTGAACACAAATCTATTGATGTAAGTTTTATATTCTAAACAAGCATATCATTTGACTAAATGTTGATCAAACTTTGTAAATTTTAACTTTTCCTCTAGTCTAATACGCCTATCATTTTTTTTGGACGGAGGGACCAAACAAAAGAAAAGAACAGAGAACCGCATTTTTTGGTCGGTATATGTTCGGGTTCAGTCTCCAGTATCGGGTTTTTGGGCCCAGGCCTTAGAGGGCTGCTTGCCTGACCTCGCGGCGCGCGCGAAACCCGCGACCTACCGCCGCGCCCCCGTCGCTCATAGTAAAACCTAACGGCCGGCGGCCGTCCCCGCCTTCTTTTCCTTCCTTCCCCATCTTCTTTGCCCCCTCCAAGAATCGCAGCGAGGGAACGAGCTCCAAACACCTATTTATGCGGCGGACGAGGAGCCAGTCCGCGAGCGGGGGCAACACCCCGCCCGCTGCCGGTTCGTCTCCCGCCCTCGCGAAACGCTTGTCCCCCTCCCGTGCTCCCATTGCTCTTTGCTCTGCGTGCTTCCGTTCATGGCTTCCGCTTCCTTGTACAGGACCAAGCGCGGAGGTCACCGGTCGCCGGAGGGCTTCGCCTGCCGTGAAAGGGAAATCACCTGTCACCAAGGTGAGGTCTTTTGTCTGGTGCCCCATGCGTCTGCGTGTCATTATCTAGCCCACAGCCCCACACGTCGGTGCTGCTCGGGTCGATGGGAAGTTAATCAAACTTAGGCATAGGGGGGAATGGGGGATTCATTTAATTGGAGTAGTATTGTGTAACATGGATTCTGGCTTGGAGTCAGTGAATGATTTCGTGGCACAGAGCATTTGTTCAAGTCAAATGAATTGAGACTTCACTTGGAAAATTGGTTAAAATGGCATGCCTTTATTAGTTGAAGCATTCAATTTTGTTGAATAATACACTGTGATTAAGGCTTCCAAGCGAATTTATCCCAAAGGAAACTCGAGTACTATAGCTCTTTCTGAATATATTAGGTAAACTTAAATAAATGTATGCGATGGTTGTACAAAGGTAGGATACAAAATGCCCCTTTCAGCCAGAACAAAAGTAGGACGCAAAGTGTCTTCTTTGATTTGAAGGTTAGTTATGTAAAGTAGATTTATTTGTCCAGTGATGGGATTTACTTACATCCTGCTCTTCAGGTGGAAACAGCATCACCACTGGGGAGTGCACGCAGAAAAGGTAGACCCAAGACTGAGTCGAAAGATAATGCCAGTGTGGAGACGTGCAGTGCAGGGAGCTGCGAAAAGAATAATTTGGAGGAGCAAACGGAATCCCTTGACAACAATGATGCAGCTGAAATGGACTGGGAAGAGGGGCACGTGGAGCACATTGAGTATTCTGATGAGCTCAGAGAGACCATCACTGTTGAGTTCAACGACGTACCTTCTTCCACTAACAAGAAGGGTGTTCGCAGGCCCACTGCTGAGGAAAAGGTTAGCTTTTTTTTATGACTATTAGAAACTGTTATTAGTCAAGCAAGGTATCAGAAAGGGATATCGTGTGAAGCCGTGAACTTGACTTCTAATCTTCTAATCTGTTTCCACAATGTCATGGCATTCAAATTCTCATTGAGAAGGTTATACAGAAGAAAAGAAATGAAGGGAGCTCCTAGTAATTCATTACCAACTACTTATATTTTCTGATTTACTCAGGAGTTGGCTGAACTTGTTCACAAGGTCCATTTGCTTTGCCTAATAGCAAGGGGTAGAGTAGTTGACAAGGCTTGCGATGATACTCTTATTCAGGTGTGTAATAGTGTTATTATCATCTCTTCATAATTTGTTTATCCTATATAATCCATATTTTATTGTCCATGTTCGAAAACAATGAAATTTGATGTAAATTTTGGGAACTACTAGAGCTGTGGGTGTCTTTCAAGCTAAACCTTTCAAGCTAAACATACTTTTTTTTTGTTTCTAATGTTATTTGCAGGCCTCAATTCTCTCTCTTGTACCGTACCACTTACTATGGAGTCTTTCTGATGTTCCAAACCTGAAAGCTATTAACCTCTACGTAGTCTTGTGAGCTGGGTAAGACACTTTTCTGTTTATTCGGTTCAGTTAAATATTTGATGTTTCATGAAAAGGAAGTTTTTAAAAGTTAATGTATTGTACTTTGTACTTGCAGTTCCATCGTACTTTTTGTGTAACTGCACAATCCAGTGACAGGGGATCTTTTAAATCAAATTTGGCTTTCACTATTCAAGATCATGTAGGCACTGCTGAAGAGGTATTGAAAACTGTGCTTTGCTGAATAAATCCACTGTCTGTCTTTACGTCTTTTCTTTAACAGTATTTTGCATCACTGTTTATTTTCATTCTGGTATTGGATATGGAACTCTGAATTTTGTTTTGTTCATCTGAAGCTGCAATAATGTCTATTTGTGAAGCTGTCACTTAAATTGTCTGCTATGCAGGTTTGTGCACTCTCTGTGGCATTATTCAGGGCACTCAACTTAACAGCTAGGTATTTATTTCGCTGCCTAGCTAGTTATGTAATGAGTTTTGGCATATCTTTACTGTGTGCATAGGAGAGCAATACATCATTTTTGCTGTCCTATTAGTTCTTATTGAATGTTGTTTGCTTTGGCGTCCCATGAAGATGATAATGAAATTAGACATTTTCTGTGATATGTAAAATTAGTTATTTTCTTAGAGTAGACTGGATTTGCCAATCTGTTTGGGGAAAAAGAAAAGGTAGGGCAAAGATAAATGGATGTAAGTGGCAGTCACGCAAATTAGGGATTAGTATTCACTAAGATACGTAGCTCTGAATTTTTTTAATATAATTATCTAAAACTACTGTTTTAATTTTTGCCCACGCCCATGAAAGTAAACATGCAGATTATGCAATCATCACTTGCTATGCCATCTGTCTTGTGAAGTAAACGTGATCATGTCACTAAGAAAATGGATTTGGATACAGTATGCTACTTTTCTCTTTAAAATCATTGAACCGTCCCTAAGAATATGTTTCCTTGTAGGTTTGTTACAAATCTGGATGTTGCTGGACTCAAGCCTGATACTAAAGTGAAGGGAACATTCAGTCATGATGCATCTAGGCTTTGTACTAGGGCACTACCATGTAGTTCTCCTTTTGCTGCTGATAATGTTATTAGTTCTCCTGCTCTACTGAAAGATAATTCTCAAGGTAGTGTCAGAATGAATCAACAAAGAGGTGATCTTGGAAAATCAAAACAGACCTCAGCATGCAAGAGAAGTTTATCTAAAACTTTGTCAAGCATAAAATCAGATCATGAAAGTAGCTGTGCTTCAACATCAAAAGATAAATCAGACAGCGACCAATATCCTTCCAGAAATAATGCTGAAGTACCAAAAAGAAAAGGGGATGTGGAATTCGAGTTGCAACTGGAAATGGCTCTTTCAGCTACTGCTGCCAAGACCCAAAATAATAAACTAGCTACTCACACGAGTCAATCGACTGTTAGCTTACAAGATTCTAGTCCACCATTGAAGAAATTGCGTCAAAATGCGGAAGCTTTATCCAGCTCAAGTGCAATTTGGTCAAGAAGTGCTGGAGCTCCGTTATATTGGGCCGAGGTATACTGTGGTGGGCAAGCATCAACAGGAAGATGGGTGCATGTTGATGTTGTGAATGATCTCATTGATGCTGAACGGAAAGTAGAAGCTTCTTCTGCTGTTTGCAAGAAGCCTTTAAGATATGTTGTTGCTTTTGCTGGAAATGGAGCCAAGGATGTAACCAGAAGGTCTGCGCCTTTTGCACGATTCCTAAGTTTGTGCCATGTGCTCACAAGAGTGACATACTAACATTGCACCATCTTACGTTGTTCACCAGACAAATCAATCATAGCAGAATTACTTATGAGTAAAAATACTGACGCAGTGATTACTGAAATACACACTAATTCCAATGTAGGTCCAGTCTAAACTGCCCTGGAGCACTGGGTTATTTTATAAAACTCTAAAGTAACAAGTATCAATAGTTTTATGCTTGGCTCAGCAGAAATTTTACTTAAGTAATTCTGAACATGGAAGTTCTTGAAAAACTGGTTTCTGAACTGCCTTCCGCATGTTCCCAGGTATTGCTTGCAGTGGCACAGAATTGCACAGGGCCGAGTGAATTCAGAGTGGTGGGATAATGTTTTGGCACCACTAAAACAGATGGAACTGGCAGCAACAAACAACTATGAAGACATGGAACTTCAAACCAGAGCCCTAACAGAGCCTCTTCCTACCAGTCAACAGGTACATCACTTGTGAGATTTAAGATAAGTTAATCTGAGCTATTGTTACCCCTTTTGCTTCTGGCAAAATTTCCTGTTGGTTGGATTTGGTAATCTGTATGATTGTTTAGGCCTACAAGGACCATCACCTATATACTCTGGAGAGGTGGCTTCACAAGAACCAAATTCTTCATCCCAAAGGTCCTGTTCTTGGTTTCTGTAAAGGACATCCTGTTTATCCAAGATCATGTGTTCAAACACTGCAGTCAAGACATGGATGGTTGCGGGAGGGCCTGCAAGTCCGAGAAAACGAGTTGCCTGCAAAGGTTTGTAATAGAAGCACTGAGTTTTAGTTTACCTAGTTTTGATGCTGATTTAATTCCCCCTTTAGGTTGTTACACGTCCAAAGAGGACTTTCAATGCTCAGTCAGTTCAATCAAGTGGTAACGAAGATGGTCTTAAACCAACCTTGGAACTATATGGTGAATGGCAACTGGAACCTCTACAACTTCCCCATGCTGTAAATGGCGTTGTGCCAAAGGTATTTTTAACTCTTTTTTACTATGGCTTGCCATTTGGATCCTTTGGTCTTCAGTCCTTGTTTTCTGGTGTTCCATACTGATTCATGCTAAAATGTCTCCAAGAATGAACGAGGCCAAGTTGATGTATGGTCAGAGAAGTGCCTTCCACCTGGTACTGTACACTTGAGGTTACCAAGATTATTCCAGGTTGCAAAGAGACTTGGCATCGACTATGCTCCTGCTATGGTCGGGTTTGATTATCGCAGTGGTCGGTGTCTCCCAGTCTTTGATGGGATTGTTGTCTGTACCGAATTCAAAAGTGCTATCCTGGAGGTATGCTTTGATGGGAGAATGTTTTTTCAATATTTGAAACCTTTAATCACATTGTTATCATGATTTACCTGATCTATTGTGTGATTTAGCAATGCATCTTATTAGAAATTTAAACAGCTTTTTTTTCTGAAAAGTTATTTAAACAATAGAAAAAAGTCCGAGAAGTTACCATGCTGAGCCTAGTAATTTAGGCGTCTTTGTGATACTGATGGGCATTGCAGAAATGCCTTGCATTTGTGTCCAAAACAAGCTAAGTGTCCCTTTTCCTCATCTCCATCATATTCCACACCATACACTGTCAGTCAGTTCAGTTCTAAAACTGACACGATACTAATGCTTTCATACCCACTAGGCATATGCAGAAGAAGAGGAGCGGAGACGGGCTGAGGAGAGGAAGCAGGAGGAGGCTCAGGCACTCTCCAGATGGTATCAGCTGCTCTGCTCCATTGTAACAAGACAGAGGTTGAAGGACTTCTACAAAACACCTTCACACGGGCTTGGTAATGAAGGGCTGCCCGAAAATGATAATGTCCATAGCAGCACTCGCAGCAGTGGATCCACGGAAGGGGAGCCTAGTTCAAGCAAACTGCAGACAGATGATGACCATGAGCATGAATTTCCAGAGGAAGACCAGAGCTTTGACGAGGAGACCTTTGTGAGGACGAAACGCTGCTCATGTGGTTTTTCTATCCAAGTAGAGGAGTTGTAGCTTTCATACCAGGAGTGCACATGTTTCTAACTGTTTGTAACATATGTCCTCTTTCATCCATTTCAAAGTCAGAATCCAAGACATAGTTTTTTATGCACTTATTAATTTACGAGAGTACTTATGTTGGCTCTCAAACTTGATTCAATTTCGCATTAGCAACTCTATTGCATTCACCAAGAAAATTATTAATGCTTAATGAAAGGGAGAAAATGTCACAAGAAGCAGTAGTGTGTGAGCTTATGCCACTGCAGAATCCGCACCCAAGAACATGAAACATGAACAAATCAAGTCTAAGCAGATATGCCTGAAATGAAAATCAGAATGAAAGAGAGCAGCTGGGGACAAAGGAAGGCCGGCCGGCCGATCACGCCGAAACGCTCCGGCTGCCGTCCGTGCTGCTGAAATCGGCTTTCCGGCAGGCGTCCTCGACGATGCGCTCGATCCTCGCCTCCACCTGGGCCATGGTTGGTCGCCTGTCGGTGCGCTGCTCGGTGCACTCAATGCCGAGCTGCAGCAGCCGCATCATCTCCCCCTCGACGCGCGGCTCGTTGGCGACGGCGGCGTCGAACACCTCGGACGTCCACTCCTCCTGCACAACGGACCGCACCCACCGCGGCAGGTCCACGCCGTCGGCGCCTTCCGGCAGCGCGTGCAGGGGCGCGCGCCCGCTGAGCAGCTCCAGCACCACGACGCCGAAACTGTACACGTCGGCGCTCTGCGGCACGCTGCGGGCGTCTGTCACCTCCGGAGCGTGGTACCCGGCGCCCCGCCTCGGTGGCGCCGCGGCACCCGTAAGCTGCGCGATGCCATAGTCGGAGACGTAGGCGCCGTCACGCGTGGCGGTGACGACGATGTTGGATGACTTGATGTTGCCGTGCGACGACTTGGCCCCGCCCTGGTGGATGAACGCCACGCCGCGCGCCGCGGCCAGCGCGATGCGCGCGCGCGCCGTGAAGTCCAGCCGCGCACGGCCCTCCGCGCCTCCGTCTGCGAGGCAAGAAAAGAATGTGAACATGGTGTCCATCCATCCCATATGTACACGAGGAGAAGACATGTTCAGGGGCAGGGCACGAACCGTGCAGGAGGGCAGAGAGGCTGCCGGCGCCGACGAAGTCGTAGACGAGGAGCTTCTCCTCCTTGCTGTAGAAGTAGGCGCGCAGGTGGGTCAAGTTGTGGTGATGGAGCGCACCAAGCGCGGTGGCCTTGTTGCGGAACTCGTTCTCGTAGAGGTGCACCTCGCGGAGCCGCTTGACGGCGAGGACGGGCTCGCCGCCGTCGAGCGTGGCGCGGTACGTGGTGCCGTGCTGGCCCTTGCCGAGCACCTCGGCCGACGCCCGCAGAAGCGTCTCCAGGTCGTATGGCCTCTCCGGTGCGCTCCCCAGGAAGACCAGCTTCTTGCCTTCGCCGATCATCGCCGGCGCGAGCGGCGGGGCGTGCGACTGCTTCACGGCGTCCCTGTCCGTCCTCGCCAAGGTCACCGTTATAGGCGCGGTGGCCTCGTGCACGTTGGCCGCCGCAGCATCCGCGGGCCTCCCCGCCGCCGCCGCCGCCTGGCGTCGGCGAAGGGAGGCGACGAGCCCCACGATGAGCAGGAGAACGAACGCGGCGCCGGCGATGATGCCGACGATTGCCCAACGGGACAGGGGCTTCTTCTTTCCGCCACCCGCAGACGGAGACGCCGGCGGAGGCGCCGGGGGCGTGGAGTTGGGGCACGTGGGGAGAGGCCCGTCGCAGAGCGCCGTGCCTTGGAACGCGCTCGCGGGCATCCTGGCGAGAGACGCCGGCACGGGGCCAGTGAGCTGCGCGTTGAACGACACGTTGAAGCGCGAGAGGCTGGGAAGGTAAAGCCCCGGCGGAAGCGCGCCGGCGAAGTCGTTGCTGTCCAGGAGCAGCGTGTCCAGCTGCTTGAGCCTGTTGAACTCCTCCGACACGCCGCCGGTGAGGCGGTTCTGTGAGAGGTCAACCTTCCTGAGCACCGCGAGCGAGAAGAAGCCCTCCGGCACGGCGCCGGTGAACTGGTTCCTCGTGAGGTTCACCACGGTCAGCTGGCCGCAGTTGCCGATATCGGCCGGGATACCCCCCGTGATGCCGTTGTGCCGGAGCGACAGCGCCTGCAGCGCGGTGAGGTTCCCCACCGTGCCTAGCGGTATCGTCCCGATCAGCCGCTTCCCGGGCAGCCGCAGCTCGACGACGCGTTGGGGCACGGCCTGGGTCTGGTTGCTGCACACGACGCCGTGCCATCCGCACGGCGACGGCTCCGTGGTGTTCCACGGGAGGAGGCGGCCACTGTCCAGCGCGTCCCGCAGCGCCAGCAGCGCCAAGCGGTCCCCCGCCAGGTCCTGCGCCACGAGCCCAGGCAGCGCGGCGGCGAGCAGCGCGGCCACCACGAACGGGACCGCCACGCGGGCACCGCCGATCGGCAGCCGCTGGCGCGCCATCGCCCGGCGCCGCTGCGAGGTCCGCAGCTTCCAGGCAAGCAAACAAGGGCAAGTAACTAATAAAGCAGACGGCGGGCGATAACACGTCGCCGCGTGTGTCAATAGCGGGGATGGAGGTTTAGAGGCAGCCTAGAGTTCATCAGCGGCGACGGAGGAATCGGTGGGGCGGACGCGGTTGGATCGGAGGTGTGTCAACCTGGCGGGAAAGACAGGATCTTTTTATACGTACTCCTCTGGTTCGCATCGTACAATCTTCTCCGTTGGTTTTATCTCTATAAAAGTGTGTGAAGTGAAGCTGGTGGTGAGCTCGTCCGTCCAGCTGCGCCGATGCAAATATGCGGCACAGTTCTGTTTAACACTCGTAATGAACTCGACTAGTTTAGCACTTTAGCCATAGACAAAGCTACAGCTGCTGCTAATTAAGCTAGATCGCCATGGACGGCAGATTATATTAGTATGCTGTGGTGCTGCCAGAATTGGCAACTCTGCTGGTCTCTGGATGTAGTGGTGACACTCCAGCTAATTAGCCAAAGCAACAAGGTGGTTAAAGGAGGGTTAATTGGAGATTAGTTAATCGGCATCGGGCTCGGCGTCAAACGGACTCAGCGAGGGAGGCGGTCGAGGGACAGATGGTGAACTGACGACATGAGGTGAAAGAACTGAGGCTTGGCATTTGGATGGGAGCGGACCGGCGCGCCGCGACGAACGCGTCGCCCCGGAAACGCCTCGCGTTCTCCTCCAGGAGGACCCTAGACGTCCTGCAATCCTTTGTTTGTACTCCAGCATTTCCAGCTACATGCTCTGCTCTCCATGTTTGCTTCTTAAAAAAAACAAAACACACTAGGCAAAAGGGCCCTTGTATTGACACCAGTGCGCTCTCACCCATACTAATAAACATGCACAAGCACACCCGACCTATATGGAATGCAACTACTGAGAAAGAAACATTTACCGTTGAAGTCACACCACCTATTCCCTAACTTCTAAAATATAGTGCATTTTAGTTGTACTAACGTGTTGTTTGGTTCAGCTCTCAATGCATGCTGCCATGCGCGCTGCCCAGGCCCACCCCATATGGCATCGAACTCGCGGTGGAAAGTACTCAACCAAAAGCGTATTTTGTTCCCCCATAACAGTTAGCGTCGGCAGCTGATCCCATTATTACCATTCCCTCACGTCCATTTTGGCCATTTACTTCGTGTCTTGCAATACTCGAGGGAACATCGTCTCGCAACTTATTCTACGATCATGATAGTCTACTTTTATTCTATGCTCGTGATAGTTCACTTCAACTTCATGCTTACTCAGACTCCACTTGGGCGAGTGACCCAAATCGCCGTTCCATCACAGGATACTGTATTCTTCTTGGGTCCTCTCCTATTGCATGGAAGTATGAGAAACAAGCCGTTGTATCTCATTCTAGTACAGCGGCAGAACTTCGAGCACTTGCCACCGCTACTTCAGAAATTGTATGACTTCGATGGTTGTTGGCGGATTATGAGATTTATTTTCATGCTACCACACCTCTTCTATGCGATAATACAAGAGCTATACAGAGTGCCAATGATCATGTGAAGCATGAACTTACCAATCATTTCTTTACTCGGTCTTATTTTAATCAGCATACCATTGCTCTTCAGTACGTGCCATCCGAGCTGCAATTGGCCGACTTCTTCACTAGAGCGCAAACTCGAGAGAAACATTGGCTTCACTTGCTCAAACTCAATGCTTCAGATCCTCCACTTTTGCCTTGAGTTTGAATGGGGGTGTTAAGTCAAGGCCCGTCTACTATTGGCCCATATGGCCCATATGAGTGTCTATATATACCTCTCCACTAATGGAATGATACCTTGTCTTCTCACATCCCTAAGGTTAGTAACAAATACAAATACAAATACACATGAAACTAAAGAGAATAACTAACTAGAGAGGAACATGAGTATATCATACCAAAGATCACAAATGCACTAATCACATTCCAAATTATAAGATGTTAGCATTTTTAGGTACATTGTTTTTACTATGTATCTAAACATAGTATATATCTAAGTACATAACATAAGATATGTATATCTAGAAAACCTAAAATGTCTATTGTGGGTAGGGAAGTGAGCGGGTACTGTTTTCACCTGGTGTATTTGAGTATGAGTAGTCAACTGGCCAGTAGTTAGGCCTAGCATTGCAAACTTGGAAGTATTTGATGTAGTACTCTGAGTCTTCTGTTAAACGTGACATGAAATGGGTGACCCATCTTTTAGGAATCTGAGCATGCATTGTATTTTCATGTGTAAAAGATAGGCAATTAGTAGTATGTTTAGGGGGAGAACTTTGTAGTCTCTTTAGCATAGTATAAGAAGTACCTTCTCATCAAGGAGCACTAAGTCTAGACGACAAATCTTGGAGGGATCATCAGTGTTTTAAGTACTTGCAGAATCTAGTAACTCGTACTGACTGTCCACTGCTGTGAGTCTGAGGTCACAGCGTTCAGTAAGACGTGTTGCATTCTGCATTAGTGAAAAGGAGACGGTTTATTTACAGTGAACAATTAAGGTATGAAATGATGAAATGATTGATGGTCCTAGGAGGTTTATAGACAGGCATCCAGTAGGGTCATGAACAGAATGTAGCTTAAGACAGGTATTATAGCAATCTAGCAACACAACACATGTCATCCCATAGACATACGATTGAATCGATAGAACAATAATGACCAAAGCGCATGACGCTAATTAATTGCAACTTGTAAATAGGAATAGAAAAAGGAGGACGGGGCATGGTACGAACATGAAAGGCAGGCCTTATGGTGGAATCAGGGGCAGCAGATCCAACAGGAGGGGCACTGAAAAATCTTCAGTCCAACCTGTAGAACCAATAGACAACAAATGGACCACATCAACCAATGCAGAGAAATCGGGGTAGAGGAAAATCCAAACATGGGGAGATGAAGAAAACGCAAGAGGAAAAGCAACACCGTGGACGCCGGCGTCGGAGCGGACCCGAGCGACAGAGCGGGATTAGCGGAAAAGAAGGCACCATGGATGACAGCGTCAAAACGGAGCCGAGCGACAGAGCAGAAGGAGCAAGCGGCAGATACAACGGAGGCGCTCCCTGTAGCTACGGCGAAGACGGCAGAGGCAGGCACTGCCGCGGCGGCGCGGACGACGAAGACAGGCACAGTAGCAGCGACGGCGCGTGCGAGGATAAAGGGAGTGTTCGGTGGCTGAAAAATAAATCAAAATACTGTTCCGGCTGGATTGTTGTGAGAGAAAAAATACTGTTCTGGCTGGAAGGTACTGTTTATGTGACAGAATATCGTCGGCAGTCCTCCGAGGAGTATCCCATGAAGGTAGATTGATTGGCAGAGGAGCGTGAGATCAAGAATAAGAAGGCAATAGAGACACACGAGTTAGATAGGTTCAGGCCGTCAGTATGACATAATACCCTACTCCTGTGGTCTGTTGGTTTGTATTAGCTATCGTATGATATTGCGTTAGTTTGGAGGGAGTCCCTACCCGCCTTATATAGTCCGGAGAGCAGGGTTACAAGTCGGTTAGATCTAAGAGATAACCGGAAAGTAATAACTGATTATAGAAATCTTGGGATCATACATATCCTAACAGATCTCGTAATATCTTCATGATATCTTGCGGCAGCCACCGAGCAGAGTCGTGCCCCGCAAGGCGTCGTCTTGTGGGCTAGGCCACCCCTGGGGGCGCAGCCCATGTGGTCTGCCGTGGGTATCCGGAGTCATACCTCCCACAGCTAGTCTCCGAGCACCTTGTACCCGTTGTGCAATGCCATTTTGCGCTTGTCCGAGCAGGTGCGAACAAAGCCAAGTAGTAAAACTCATGATCCGACCACCGTGATGAGTTGTTGAGCAGTTGCCGAGCAGCACGGACCACAGCCGAGCAGTATGATCCAAACACAACTTGCCATAAGGGTGTAAGGAGCTCAAGTTCAGAATAAAAAATTTCTCGCAGTGGACCAAGTGTGCCCACTTAGAGTCCGACCGCGAGAGCAAGAGACAATCTTCTTCAGCCTCAAGGTGCGCGAAGTCTTCTAGAAAAAAGTAAGCACATTCACCGCGAGGTGAAGTATGCCCACTTAGTCCCCGAGCCAGACAGTAGATGACGTAGTCATGTGGTGCCAGGGTCCAAAGCAGAAGAATAGAAAACCGGCCGAGCAGGCAGCCAATCCCCGGGCGTAGACCCAAAAAGCACATTCACTGCAAGGTGAAATGTGCCCACTTAGTCCCCGAGCCTGACAGTAGGTGACGAAGTCATGTGGTGCCAGGGTCAGAAACAAAGAAATAGTTAAAGACCAGCCGAATAGGTAACTAGTCCCCGAGCTGCCAGCGGAGACATCGGAGAAATCAAATCGTGGAGAAAAAACCCGGAGTAATGGTTGTACAGTAACGGTTATTGAGCCTCAATAAATGGCGGATAAGTCTGTGATTATTCGGCGGATAACAAACGGCAGCGGCGATAAATGAGCGACGTGGGCTGCAGTTGCATAGAAGCCCAGGTAACGGCCCATATCCCGCTTCGGAGAATTCGGAGCGGCACAGATCGCAGGAACGGTTCCCCAAAAACCCTTGAACGCGGAAAGGTGGGGAAAGTGCTTTATCACTGCGCCACCGCATACCCCATTTCCACCTTTTCCACTTCATCTTCCTCCTCATTTCTCGCATCTCCGAATTTGCCACCACATTCGCCTTCGCCGTCAAACCCTAATTAGATCTGGGAGATGGCGCCGAAGAAGGGAGCTGCGAAACTGAAAAAGACTAGCCCCAAGAAGGCGAGCGCCGGGGCCCAGCGTGACGAGGAGTGGGTGCCGTCGTGAACGGGAGAAGCGGAGCTGAACAGATTGGTGGAAGCCGGCGTTCTCCCTGACCTGTGCCACCGCCGGATGGCGGCCGGCCCTTGGTGATTTCTTCCCAACACCTCATACTGACAAAGCAGTGGTATTCGAGGATTATTTCTGGCGCGGGTTAGGATTTC